TCCATTTCCTGGATGCCCAAATCCTCTCCTGCTCCACAAGCTCCCTGCAGCCTGGGTCACTCCTGCTGCAGACAAATCCCAAGAGGATAAAACAAAAGTTGGTGCCTTCCAAGAAGGAATGCCAGGCCAGACCCTGCTCCTGGAGAAGGACTAGGTTATGTACAAGCATACATTCATCCCACCTGGAAGGTGGATCACTGGTGACAAGGACACCCTGTGCAAGACAGCCATGTCCTCCAAGGCAAAGGACAGGAACTCATGAACATGCTCCTAAGGACTCAGCTCTGCTCTTCTGAGGGAAAGGGTTCAAAATCAACCAAGTACAGAGAGTGTGACCAGGAGGAGCTGTGAGGAATGTGGAACCTGGTCATCCCCATGCTTTGCTTTCAAGGGCTGCCCCCAGGAGGGAGGTGCCTATGGCTTAAATAGAGCAGATGGGATCTAACAAGACATCAGAGGGAGGAGAACAGACAAGACTACATCTCACTTTGGTGTAGGATGAGCCTGAGGAGGGGCAGGGGATCACAGGGATCAACCAGGACACCCTGAGAAAGAGGGAGAACTTCACTTTCTGCCACTAACACCCAACCTGGGTGCACAAACACACGTCCACCAGCCCCATGAGCACACTCTGGGGCTGTTTTCAGCACAGCAGCCACAACCCTTCACCAGGGACATTGTGGAAGGTTGGCAACCCCAGCCCACGGCCCCCTTGCCTCCTTGCCCAGCCCTCCCCCATCACCAAGCCCTTCCCAGCCCCACGAGCTGCCCTCACACCCCCCCTGGCTCAGGGATGCAGCCTCCTGCCCTTGCCTTGCCAAAAACCCCAGCTCCCCTCCTACACCTCCCAGGAAAGTCACCTTGCCTGAGCTCACCTGCTCAGGGCAGGGGGGAAATTAGAAAGAGGGTCTCCAATTTGGCAGGAACAAACCCCCAGGGAACTGTGCTACCACCCCGTGGGGTCACACACAGCCCTGTCCCCAAACCCTCTTGGCCAGCTTGTCCAGTCATTGCACTCTTATGTACAGGAAAAAAAAAAAAAGAAAGCTACGAAACGAAACAAAACCAAAAAAACAAAACAAAAATCAGTATTTTTTTTTCTTCTCTTGGACGATTCACCCTCATCAGTCTGATGGTGGGACACATGCATGTCCTGCTGGCTTCTGGTGGTGGCCACACATGCAAGGCTTCAGTCCGAGTGACAAGGGAGGGATCCTTTTGTCAGGAGCCTTTCCTTCGTGTCATTCATTTCTTGCTCTGTTCTGAAACAAAACCAAAAAAACAAAACAAAAATCAGTATTTTTTTTTCTTCTCTTGGACGATTCACCCTCATCAGTCTGATGGTGGGACACATGCATGTCCTGCTGGCTTCTGGTGGTGGCCACACATGCAAGGCTTCAGTCCGAGTGACAAGGGAGGGATCCTTTCGTCAGGAGCCTTTCCTTCGTGTCATTCATTTCTTGCTCTGTTCTGAAACAAAATGGGGAAGGGAAAAAAAACCAAACCAAACCAACCAAAATAAAAGAGGGTCCGAAAAGTCTCGGTGAGGGTTGGGAAGTAAAGCAGCTCCTGGTTTTGTTAGCAAGAGGGGTTGGTCCCTGGGAGCCTGTTTGCACGGAGCTGGTTTGGCTGTGGCTGCTCAGGCTGCGTGAGGAGGAGGATGATGCTGGAGGAAGGGCTCAGCACTGCAGGAGGAGGGGAGGGATGAGTGGGAGCCAGGCAGGCAGCAGCAGGGGGAGGGAAAACAGGCAGGGGTCCCTTTCCATTGCTCCCAAGAAAGGTACTGGGCAAGGAAGCAGCGGCACAGAGAGGATGAAGGTCACCACATCCCTGTGCCCACCCCAAAGCCCCATCCCTGCTGCAGCCAGCCAGATGGATACTGCTCCTTGGGCTGACACCACTTACACACCCTGTGCTTACATTTTTAACCACAGACACCTCCAGAATCACATAAAGAGTTTGGTTGGAAAAGACCTTCAAGACCATCAAGTCCAACCTTTAACCCAGCACTGACCAGTCCTTAACTAAACCATATACCCACCTTCTCTGTTTATATGACTCTTAAATCCCTCCAGGGATGGTGACTCCAGCACTGCCCTGGGCAGCCTGTTCCACTGCCTGATAACCTTTTTGGTGAAGAAATTCTTCCTAACACCCAATCTAAACCTCTCCTGGTGTAACTTGAGGCCATTACCTCTTGTCCTAAGAACAAACAGCAAGGACCAATCCACCCACTGCTGTTGGTACCCCAGTCCCAGGGCTGCCCTCCTTCCTTCCTTCTTCTACATGGACATGGAAGGTAACAGGCACCACATGGTCCAAAAGAAGAATCACAGAATCCCAGGGGTTGGAAGGGACCTGGAAAGACCATCCAGCCCAACCCCCCTGCCAGAGCAGGGGCACCCAGAGCACATCACACAGGAACGTGGCCAGGGGGGTTGGAATGTCTCCAGAGAAGGAGACTCCACAGCCTCTCTGGGCAGCCTGGCCCAGGGCTCTGGCACTCTCACAGCAAAGAAGTTCTTCCTGACATTCACATGGAACCTCCTGTGCTCCAGTTTGCACCCACTGCCCCTTGTCCTGTCACTGGACATCACTGCACAAAGCCTGGCTCTGTCCTCCTGACACTGCCCTGAACAGATTTGTGCCCATGGATGAGGTGGCCCCTCAGTCTCCTCTTCTCCAAGCCCAACAGCCCCAGCTCCCTCAGCCTTTCCTCAGCAGGGAGATGTTCCCCTCCCTCCAGCATCTCTGTGGCTCTGCCCTGGACTCCTTCAAGCAGTTCCCTGTCCTTCTGGAACTGAGGAGCCCAGAAGTGGACACAACATTTCAGATGTGGTCTTCTACTTGAAATTCCTGCCAGGGCTTGTCTCTCACCAACTAGATCCCCAGTTTCCAAGCAGTCACCAGCAGTGTCCCCAGGGCTGGGACAGACCCTGCTGGCACTTCTGCCTGCACAGAAAAAGCTGGGGTTGTTTTTTGTTGTGTTTTTGTTTTTTTTTCCTTAAAAAACCTCAAACACCCAGAAGGCAGCACTTTCTGAGTTAGAAAAGCCACTCATCATGGATCTGTCGACCACATTTCTCTCCCCTTCATCACCCAACACATCTCATGCTCTTTGACAAACAAGGGTCCTGCCTGGGGTGCCCAGCCAGGCCCTGTGGCCACTGCCAGCCCTGGTGCTGACAGCTGCCCAGGAATTCATAAACAAGATGGGAGAGAGAGGGGAAAAAATAACAACCCTTTTTTGAAGCTTCTGCCAACATGTCTCTCCAGTGCTGGCTGGAGAGCCCAGCCCTCGTGTCCCAAGATAAAACTGGCTGCTGCAATGGCAGCAATGGGATGACCTCAGCACTCCAGGCTTTGGAGAGAAGCAGGGACTCTTGTGACCAGGCTGGATGAAATGTCATTGCAAGGATGAAAATTCCTCTTCTCCAAGTTGCAGGGGTGTCTCTCCAGCAGTGGGCCAGCCCTGGGCAGGTGATGTTGGCAGCCACACGGTGCTTGCAACCAGGGGTGGCTGCTGCACAGGGACAGGATGGGGACATGGCTGCAGCACCAGCGTTTCACCACGGTGGGTGCTCTTCAAAACGTTGCTCTCAGGCCTCAAGTAACCCCCTGGCACAGGGTGGGTTGGTGTTTCCATCAGATCCATGGTCAGCAGAGGGTCCAACCCCCCTTGGCTCTAACAGGCTGCAGGTTCCGACACGTCCAGCTCTGCTCCCTGCACACGGGTGACAGGAGCAGGGGGGACTGAGGGGCCTGGGAGAACTTTGTAGAGCAGGGATGATGGTTGGTCTGGGTGATCCTGAGGGGCTTTTCCAACCTGAATGGCTCTGAGATTCTACAAGTGATGGGGCAGCCACGATCCACACAGATCCTGCTTCCCACCACGTTTCTCAGGGCTGTCACAGCCCCTCAGCTCCTGCCAACCTGCAAACTAACACCACGAGCTCATCTCCTGCAAGATCTGCTCCTCCCTGGGACAGCAGAGGCTTTGGGGGAGGTTTATCCTCGTTGCTTTTGACTTCCCTCCTAACGGGTTCCCCTAAAAGGTGATGCTGCAGGGATGGAGGCTCCAGCTGCCAGCCTGGATCTCTCTCCCTCCACTGAGGGAAGTGCTGCAGCCTCCATTGCTCTGAACATCCCAGCTTCAGCTGAGACCCCAAACCCAGGAGAAAAAACAAAAAGGGAAACCCTCCTCCCATCCCTCCACAACACCAGGGCAGCAGCACCCACAGCTACCTTCTCCTCTTCCACTCCTGCCGTGTGGCAAAGGCAGGCAAAAGAAATACCAACCAGAAGAGAGGAGGAAATGCAAATAAAGAATTAAAAACCAACCCCCCCACAAGTCAGCAGAGCTGGAAAATCCCCTCTGGAGGGATTCCAGCAAGGAAAGGTGCAGTGCTGCTCTCCTCCCAAGCATCCCAGAGCTCAAGCAAACAACTTGGCCCGTGGGGACACATTCCTCCCCAGCCCAGCCAAGGCAGCTCTGCAGAGATTTCCCTAAAAGGTCAGCCCTGGGTGCTGGCTCCCAGCTCTGCAGCTGCTCCTCCCCAGGGAACTCGGGTGCCTGCAGCAGCCCCTCTGCTCTGAGGGCTCTGGGACTGCCTCCTCCTCCTCTTCCTCCCACCCCAGGAGGGTGAGGGCAAGTGGTTCCTCTCTGCTACACGTTGGAGGGTTTTTTTGGGGGATGGGAGACTTGAGATTTTAGTCCCTGCAGATTCTGGGCTGTCTCAGGGGGTTGGTTGGTGGAGCCTGGGTCGGTGCTGGCAGGGGGTGTGATCCACTTGTCCCTGCACCTCTGGCCTCTGGGAGGACACTCCAGTAGGAAGCTGGAGCTAACCTTGCAGATAAGAGGCCAAATTTCCAAATCTCCCTTGGGGGTGCAGATGGTGGCCCAAGGGTGCAGCCCCACCTGCACAGCAGCTGCACTGGCACCAGGCTGCAGAGCACAGGGCCAAGGAGGGGACAGGCACCTGCTGGGGACAGGTACCTACCTGCAGGTGTGGCCACCACCTTCAGCTCCTGCAAATGCAGCCAGGGGCTGCTGTCCTCACTGGGAGTGAGGAGCAACAGCTGCACAAATGCTCATCTGCCACAAAACACGAGGAGCCAATTCTTGCTATGCATTCCCTTCCAGGTGGTGAAGATGAGGAGTCCCAGGCATGGTGCAGGAAGGCTGGATGGGAGCAGGGAGGTGATGGCAGAAGGCTGGCAGCACAGGAGGCCAAGAGCACTGGGGTTATCTCAGTGTCCTGTCTGGATTTTGTACCTTCTGGGAATCACTCAGAAAGGAGATTTCTGCAAGGTCTTGGTGCAGATGCCTGGAAACCTTCTGCCTGCAGGTCACAGGGCTCAGAAAGCAACACACATGTGTTGAGGATGGTAAACACTACAAATATGATTAGAGGTCCATAAAGGGTGGCCAACCCTTTGGGGTCTGCCAGTGTGTGATCTGCCATCTGTGTGATGGACACCTGAGAGGGTCTTGAATAACATCTCCATGTTCCTGGGCAGAACATCTGCAGGTCCAACCAAGCCAAACTAGCTGAGCACTTGCATCACATCCCAGAACTGAGACAGTGGAAACCTTGGAAGGGCCTGAGATGGAGGAAGGCAGTGACACAGGCAAGAGGAGAGGCCAGGAGCCACGGGGATGATGAGGAGAGGAATGTAAAGCACTGGGAAGACTCCAGTGTCCCAGCTTTCTGCTGCTTCAAGGACAAGGAAAATCCAGCGTCATGGAAACACAACTTATCTACATCTGATCAAAGGAGACATTTTTTTTCCATGCAAAACCTGAATCAGCAGAATTTGGAGCCAGACATTTCCATCCCTCAACTGAACATCCTTGACCATCCTTCAGAAGGTCCCAAGCTGGAGACCATCCCCAAGCACTGCCTCCCAGCAGCCAAGCAGTAGCCTGGCCCCTGGCCAAAGCTGCCACACAAACAGCTGCTTCATGGGCTTTTTCAGACCTTATTTTGAAGCAAAACACAGAGGCCAGTGTGGGAAAGGAGAACTTCTCTAGGTACAAAGCAGGACTTGATGATCTCCGAGGTCTTTTCCAGCCTCAATGATTCTGTGATTCTGAGGTCCCTGGGCTCAATTATCAGCTGGTTTTCCAAGCCACGTTCACCCAAAGGAGGCCCAAGCAGGTCCCCACTGCACATAGCCAAGACTTTGGGAATATAAGGTTTGGGGATGAGACACATAAGAAAACCAACCCTTGGTCTGGAGTCCTGCAGGTTTTCAACTGGTGCTCCCCACTCCACGTGTGGTTTACTGTCCTGAGAATGTCTGGTGAGAAAAAAAAACAAAATCACAATACCCCATTGAGAAGTGGCTTTTTGAGGGGTTTTTTGGTTTGCTTTTCAAAGCCCAGAGGACTTAGGCAGATGCAGGATTTCAAGGGTGATGATTTAAGTGGGATCTTTAAGTGGGAACCCCTTGCTGGGTGAGACACAAAGTGACCCATGAGCCTCTGCAGCATGGTGACCATGAGGATGAGGGTGGCTCAGAGGTCCCATCATGCTGGGAGCACATCATGGGAGGAGAAACCACTGAGCTGGTGTGATGGGACTGGAAAGCACTGTACCCCTGCCAGAAACCCTGCTGTGCTGGGAGCTGCACTGGCAGAGCTGAAGAAAAGCTCTTCCTCCAGCAGCACTGAGTGTTTAGAGAGAAATGCAAAGTGTGGGAGAAAGAAAGACTCATTCCCAGCTCACAGATGGTGAAGAGAAGACTGAGGGCATGCATGGGATGCAACAGCCAGGAATTCAACCAGCTCTCCTACACCCCAGCCCAGTGCCACATCACAGAACTGTTGCTACAGGCTTGGAACCACATGGGAAAGCAGATCTGGAGGATGCAAAGCACCTTCCAGTCTGTTGAGAGATGCTGCAATTCAAGGAAATAAGGCAGCAACTATTTCTGTCTGGTCTGTAAAACCAGGAACTCTGCATCTCTGCATCTGTGTTTCTCAGCAGAGGCTTCACTGAGCAGCTGCTGCGGTTCCACAGCAGTTCAGCCCAGAAAGCAAAGCTGACATGAGCACCCCCAGCATGATGGTGGGTGCAGCTGCTTGGTTTCCTGCTTGTAATCATTTCCCATTCCATATTTCCAGCTTTTTGCATGGTTCTGCTCCATGAGAAACCAAACAGGGCTGTTGTGAAGCCCCACATCCCTCCCTGCCAGGGCTGGAGGGACCTGCCCTATGCCCTGAGAGGCAAGTGTGGCTTTGCAGTTTTCCTGGGTCATTATTAAAAGGCTGAAGGTAAGAGGAGGGGTTTGAGAAGATGTTGGTTGCCTAAGGGGGGGTGAAAAAGTTGAAGCAGGGTGATGCTGTGGAAGGACATCCAGAACACACTCATATTGCTCATCAGCACCCCCTCCTGAGGGCCACACCACATCTTCCCTGGGCAAGGACAGTGTCCCTCCTGCCCTTCTGCCCCCTGCTCTCACTGCTGGGGCAAAGACACCCGGAAAACATGAATCCCATCTCTTTTCCTGGAGAGGGGCCAAACCCCACAGCACCACTGGGCAGCTGCAGCCCAGCAAGCCAGGAAAACCTGCAGGTTGAACTCAGCACCCAGATGTCACCCACAGCAACATCTCTGCAAGAAACAGGAGATGCCATCAGCTCTTTGGAGCCCTGCCCGGCCACGTGTGGTGCTTCACAGCCCAGAGCACCCAGGAACCCCAGCCCTGGGGTCAGAGGAGCTGGTTCTCCTCCACGTGTGCCATGGGACACATCCTGGATGGTGCTGACCAAGGTCAAGCCCATTCAAAATAGTTTCTAACACATTTGATCTTAAAACAGAGGTAGTGAACACAAGATTAGGGTGGTCTGTTGAGGTCTGGAAGGTTGAGGGGAAAAAAAAGGCAGGATTCCTGTTAGAAACCTGTGTTGGATTTGTTTTGCTTTGTAAGAGAAGGGATCCAGTTCCCAGAGGTCTGAGAGGAGCTGGATGAACACAGGTGGCAGGTTCATCTCGTGCTCCAGCTCCTACAGGAGCATCTCAAGCAGAGGTGAGTACCAGCTGCTCTGCCTGGCGGCACCAGGAAGGACGGGGGGGAGGAGAGCAAGCCCCATTTTTGCAGAGAGGGTGGATGAACGTGCAGGTGCAGCCACCCCATGAGCCAAAGAGGTGAGCGAGGTGTCCACAAAGCCACCAGCAACCCCAAGCAGAGTGTGGCAGAGCAAGCACAGCCCAGTGGGTGCAGATCACACTCACCTTCCAGGTGGTTGCGGGAAATGTACTTGAGTCCTTCATCCAGCAGGATCACGGGCAGGGAGATCTTCATCACAACCACCCACTGTGGCCAGCTCAGTGGGGTGACTTGGAAGATCAGCTGCAAGGTGGAAAGGATTGGATGTGTCAATAGGTGGGATTTTTTTTTTTTTTCACTTGTTTTAAAGGTCAAGTTGTTGTATGGCACAGGTTGGGAAAGGGACACCCCAGGTACAAAGAGGGAGGATCCAGACAGCCCAAAGAACAGGATTTCTTTGAGGCCTGTCATCATGCCTAGCTGGCTCTTGGCCCAAAGGAGTCAAAAATCATGTCCTTCACAACTCCTGCAGGTGGGAAAAGTGAGGCCCAAGCTAGGACTGCAGGTTCACATGTTGATAGGCACTTAGCAGGGGACAAGGGACAAGAAGCATCCTGGGAACAGTCACCCACTTCATAGAGTCACAGAATGGTTTGGGCTGGAAGGGACCTTGAAGATCATTTAGTTCCAACCCTTGGCCACAGGCAGAGACACCCTCCACTAGACCAGGTTGCTCAAAGCCCCATCCAACCTTAAGCATCCTTTGGCATCAACAGAGGCAATGCCAGCCTTGGGCTGCAAAGGGAGGTGATGCTTCCAGATGGGACTCAGTCATCTCCTGGAGATATCTACACCCCTTTGCATCACCTAAAAGGAGAGCTTCTGACTTAAGTAAAGGTTCAGTGGGGCAGGGTGACTCCCAGTCCTCATGTTGGCTCCAGTCACAGGACCTGGTCCTGAAAGCACATGCTGGGTACAACCAACCCAGAAGGTTCCAGACCCAAAGGCTGCTCCAGGGGGTGTCCTCACCCCCAGGAGGAACACCCTGGACTGTCTCTGGAGGTGGCAGAAGGCACTCACAGGCATGGGCTTGACGTAGAGGATGAGGAAGTGCAGAGCCATGGACATGACAATGGCCCCTAGCAGCCAGATGTTGAGCCATGGTGGCATCCGCAGCAGCGACTGGTTCTCAGAGAGACTGCAAAAGCAAGAGGACATCCTTAGCCCCAGGGACCTCCTGCTCTGACCTGGGCCTTCCCACTGCTCTCCAAGGCACAGGGCCATGGGTGCTGCAGCTCTTCTCTTCCAGACAGCTGAGCTCCTGGCTTTGCTGTGATGTGCATCTAGGCACCCATCTCAACACCATCAGCCACGCATGGATTAGGGCTGGTTGTTAGAAGGCCAGAATGTTTGAGGATGCAGATCCAGCCCTTCCTCCACCTCTGTCAACAGAGCAGGCTGGCTTGGAAGAGCTTATTTGCTGAGAGGACACTCCAAATGGCTCTGCTGAGTCAAAGCAAAGCCCTCAGCTCCACCAAAGGATGCTCAAAGAGGTGCTGCAGGAAATCAGTCCCATGGGGAGCACACAGAGCAACCCTGCAGCCACCCTACCTGTTGAGAGCGTTGCACATCTCGATGGTCACCAGCACAGACAGAGCCATCGTGGTTGGGTATCGGGACTCGAAGATCTCACAGTCAATCCCTTCAAAGATGGGGTTGTCCTTGGTGCACCTCATGAAGTTCCTCTGTCGGCACAACAAACCGCTGGTGAGTACCCAGCACAGCGGGAAAGGCAGGGGAGGGGAGGAAAAGGGCGAGTGGTTGGGGACACGTGGTGAACCTGGATTACCAGGGATGCTGTTGAACATCCCATGGGTCAGAGGGATCAACACAACTGACGCACCAGCTCCTGCTGTGGTTGGAGATGGGGAAGCTATGGCTGGATTGTGGCTTAGAGATTTGCACGGGCTGTTACTAAGGTGCTTGAGCACACACGTCTCCATCAAGACTACACCTTCCATCACACGTGACACTTTGGGGCACCTGCCTCCCCATCACCTTGTTCAGACCTACAGTCATGTAAAAATTGACCCTTTCACTGTGGGGTGAGGTACAGGAGTTGCCTTCAGCTTCTTTGGACCAAGGTGGTTGCAGGGCTGGAAACGTGAGCTTTGAGGGAGAGAATTTTTCTTTTTTAAATTCACCAGTGATTTGGGAACACCCCCATAACCACAGAAGAAAGGGGAGACCCCAGTGCCTGAATTCATGCCCTCACCCACCTGCTCAAACACACCAGCTCGTTCCCCTCCTGACTCACCAGCTGATGGAAGGAGACCTGAGGTCCATCGGCGTCGTACAGGAACCACCAGGTTGCTGCACCCACGGTGGCCAAGCCCACGTACACTGCGGCCAAGAGAGACACCCTTACCCCCAGCACCCAGCAGGAGACCCCCTGCCCCACAGCACCCCATGTTTCTCTTCATCCTCCACCCACTGGTGCTCACCTCCGATGGCCAGGTAGCGGAAGAAGAGCCAACCACTGATGAGGGGCTTCTTGGGGTTGCGGGGCAGCTTGTCCATGATGTCCAGGTCAGGAGGGTTGAAGCCCAGGGCAGTGGCTGGCAGACCATCTGTCACCAGGTTCACCCACAGCAGTTGCACGGGAATGAGGGCCTCAGGCAAGCCCAGGATGGCCGTCAGGAAGATGCTGTGGGGAACATTCCAGAGGTGCTGATTGAAATGAGCTCTGGGATAGCCAGAGGAAGTGTCTGTGTCATGCACGGGGAGAGCAAGCAGGCACCCTAGGTCCAGACACCCAACCTGGATTCACCCAAAGTCCTGCAGATGAACCCCTCAGTCAGCAACCTGAAGTCCAAGGCTGAATTTTGCAGCTACAGTTTGTTCCTGTTGCTATTAAACAACGTGCTCTGCGGTTGAAACCCAACCACTGACATCCCCATGGCTACGTGGGTTCCCATTGCCTGCACAAACACCCCTGCTGGAATGCAAGGGCAAAGGGTGCCCACACCATCCCAAGGCTGTGAGCACGTCGCTGAGGACAGCACTGATTTATGGTCCAGGATGGGCAGGAGACAGAGACAGGGAGAGCTGCAAAGTCCATCAGTGTGACCTGGTGACAACAGCCTGTGCCCAAACACCTGGACCCTCTTAGACACTGGCACGGGCTTAAACAGGCAATGTCTTAATTCAACAGGTCCTGGGGTTTATAAAACCAGAAAAGGAAAACCCCTCTATCCCTGGGGAACAACGAGCTGCTCGGCTTGGCACCCAGGGTGCCCACGTTGGACATCACAGGCAGCCAAGGGCAGCCTGGCAGGACTCACCAAACGACCTCCCCCACGTTGGAGGAGATGAGGTAGCGGATGAACTGCTTCATGTTGTTGTAAATGGCCCTGCCCTCCTCGACAGCCGAGACGATGGTGGAGAAGTTGTCATCAGAGAGCACCATCTCGGCAGCCGACTTGGCCACGGCCGTGCCCGACCCCATGGCGATGCCGATCTCCGCCTTCTTCAGCGCCGGGGCGTCGTTGACACCGTCCCCTGTCTGCACCAAGCCAGGGTTAACGGGGCGCCAAGGGTTGGGGGGGAAGAAGAAGAAGAAGAGACCTTGGGGGGGGGAGCTGTTGGGGCAGACTGACCATGGCGGTGATCTCGTGGAAGGACTGGAGGTACTCGACGATGCGCGACTTGTGCGCCGGCTCGACGCGGGCGAAGCAGCAGGCGCGGTGGCAGGCCTGGCGCTGCGCCTCGGGGGGCAGCTCGTCGAACTCCCGGCCCGTGGAGGCCCTGCCTGTCACGTCCTCGCCC